CCCTTCTCAGGAAGAAAAAAGGATAGGGCCACACCAACGGGCCCTGGGAGCTGAGCCTCTCCCCAGAGCCCAGAGAGAGCCTGCTGTCCCCAACATCCCTCTGTGCCAGCTGGGCCCAGAGGGAACTGCCAGGTCCCAGACCTCTGCTCTCCCCACACTGCAGGGCCCTGAGCACCCCCACACCCCTCCCTCACCTGCTGCTGTCCTTTGGGGCTTTTCCAAACAGCAGCTTCTGGAGGCAGCCAAGGAGATCTCTGACGCAGAAGGTGACCAGAGCGTTGAACACTGCAACGAGGGGACCACAGATGCCACTCACAGGACAGCAGATGGAACAGAGAGCCTGTACCCCAGGTCCCCTGGCCCCAGCTCACCAGCACCGTCTGTGACCTGGAATTTAATGGCCTCAGCACCCTCGGGGTCTCCTTGGGTGGTAGCCACAGCCGCTCGGAACGCCTGCACAACTTCGTGGAACAGCTTTGGAGTCAGGTGCTGCTGAAGGGGCAACAGAACCCAGAATGTTGAGGGAGCCATCAGCTGTGCTGGACAGAGGGAGAGGCAGCCAGCGGCTCCCAGAACCTGCCCTAGGAGAGAATGGCACCCCTCGCCCTCATTCTCACACAAGGCAAGAGGTGGGGACAGTGTTCCATGTGCCAGGAATAAAAAGACAGAGTCCAGAATCCTCCCGGGTGGGCAGGGAGCCTAGCTCAGGGACCACGGGGGCGGGGCTGAGGGTCCCAGATCGGGACGATGGCCAGCTGTGCACAGCTTCTGGAGTGCTCCCTTTCCGCCCCTTCCTGTCCCTACAGAAACCACGGCCAGACCCTCGGAAGAAGGGGCCTGGCTTAACCAACTAGCAAAGGCACAGAGACCATATCCTGCCCACAAGAGACTTGAGGGAGCAAGGAGCCCAAGAGAGGAACTGAGAGCAAAGGAGCAGGCAGAGCCCCTAGGATGTGACTGAAGGAGAGAGCGCAGTCCTAGAGCCTCCTCGCCTGCGGAAGAGCCATGCGAGGTAGCTGGCTGCTAGGAGAAGGGGACCTCCCATCTGCACGGTCCCAGGGCCGGCTCCGACCGGGGGGATGGGTCCGGCCATTTCTCACTTTCGCTGCCTGCTTCCATCTCTCGACCATGGCCAGGGTCACCGGGGTGGAATCCCTCTTCTTCCCCTTCAGTCCTCTGGAGGCCCCATCCTTGTCCTCCTCACCTTCCTCTTCACTGGCTTCCTGCACCAGACACAGAGGGCCCGGCTAGAGCAGGACGTCGAGGCCAGGAGTATGCCCCTGCCCCCACCAGCTCCGTCCGCGCCCTCGCCTCCAGCGTGTCGGGCAGGGAGTGCAGCGGCTCCTCTCCGTCCTCAGAGCCGTCCGAGTCGCTGAAGTCCAGCAGGCTCTGGTCGTTCTCCTGCAGGAACTTGTAGAACTCGGGGTCTTTGTCCTTCAGCCGAGAAAGCTGGTCCTTGTGCTCAGATGCCCGGCCTTTACGTCGGCTGGGGAGGTGGGGGTCAGTCCTCAAGTCAGATGGGTGGGCAGAGCCCGTGGGGTGGGGGGTAAGGCTTGCTGGCCTCTTCTGGGAAGATAAAGGGCTAACCTGCTCCCTCACAACAGCTACTGACAGCTGAGGCGGGGATTTCAGGGGGTAGGTTTTCAGATCGCCCCGGGCCCCAAGGTCCACACTCACACATCCCTCTCTCTACGTTTCAGCAGGTGCATTTCAAACCCAACGTGCACAACGCCGAACCCGGGGTCCCCCAAACTTGCTCTGCCCACCCCTGCTTCACCTCAGTGGTTGGCCACTCGACCTTTCCAGGCACTCACGCGGGTGGAAGGTCGCCCTGCCTGTCTCTCAGACCCAGCATGCACTCTGCCAGGAGATCTCACCAGCAACGTCTTCGAAACCCCTCCCGCCTCCTCTCCGACCAGACCATCTCTCAGGCCCCAGAAGGGTCCCTCCCGGTCCCATCCTGCGCCGACAGCAGCCCCGTGACTCTCGGTGTCCCCCGTCACGTGCCATTCCTGCACTCGCAGCACCAACCCCTGCGACGTCCCAAGTTCCTGGGACGCCTAACGGAGGGCTCCTCCATCGCCTCTCAGGTCCACCCTCTCCTCCGCGGGAGGCCCCTCCCAGCTCGGACCCGCTGTCCTGCCGCCTGCACCACCAGGACGGGCTCCCCGACCGGCGGCGCCGCCTGCTCCCTGGGTCTCTGGCTAATGACCACCTCTTCCCACGACCTTGTCACGCCGCTCGGCACAAGACGCCCGCCACGCTCCCGCCTTTCCTTCCTGTCTACCCTGCACTTCCTGCTCACCCAGCCCGAGGGGCCTCCCGGACCAGCCTGCGCCCGCCCCAACCAGGCTAGGCAGCGGGCGGCCGCTCGGTCAGCACCCGGTGAAAGAATAAACAAGCCCGAGGGTGCGGGGCAGGGGCCACCGGTCCCCAGGTCTCAAGGCTGAGGCCCCGGGAATAGTCTGCACCCCGCGGTGGGCGCGCCGGGA